TTTTGACCGGAAGACGGGTTTGATCCGATCGCTACCGTGATATCTTGGCATCCATAATCCTTTGGGCTTTCACTTGCGATCCTTTCGGCTTCTGCCTTTTCAAGCAACTCCTTTCCCGGCTTTAGATGCAGACGAAGCGATTCGCCGCATAAATGACAGTCATTGTGCATCTCCGTCCCATAGTAACACTCCGGACAAAGTACGCTAGAGCAGGAGATGACCAGCCTGTTCTTCACGGCTCCTAGTGACTTTTCGCATCGAGTACACTTCGCATCCATCGGCAGTTCCGTCTTCAAACTTTCCTCAACTTTCATGACAGCCGCGTGTACGGCTTGCACGTAATTATCGTAAGTTGCGGCAATGAGTGTCGTGGCGATCGGGTGGGCTCCGAGGGGCCCCGGCAGCAGCCGACCAAGCGCTACCCAACCCTCTTTGGTCCTCTTGACATTCGGTTGATTCAATCGCTGCCACAGCCAGGAGTTGACGGGCAAATAGCATGGATTCGGGTAACTGCACATTTGGCAGGCCAGCGACCTGCCGGTCTCGCGCACGGGTGTACGCAGCAGTTGGCGAAGGTCGTACGGGCGCAGGCATTTCGGACAATTGAAGCACTCGAGCAGCATCTGGAATTATTGACTATTGACTGAAGCAGCGGAGATGTAAACATTCTGAGAATTTATGAGGGCCATAAATTGCGAAAGCGTTTAAAAAGGCCATCCGCGAGTCAGCCGAACAGTCCCCGGTATGGCTTGTCACATTTTGTTCGACCCCGTTTTTTCGATGCCATGTGAAAGACGGTGGCCGAATTAGTAGAGCGGCGTGGTTTTGAAAGTGCAAAAAAAATTATTTTTGGAGCTTAATGGCCGTTAAAGTTGCGTTTAGAAGACGGAAATGGCGATAGGCCTATGTTTAAAGGAATTAAAAGAATAAAAATAAAAATAATGTAAGTTACCACCAGCCACGATGATGTTAGGGGCAGATTAAAAAGCTTGTAGCGTGGTCACGGAAAGTAAATAGATAGTTAGAGGCATTAGAGCGGAAAGTTAGAGTCGTATTATTTGACCAACTGGTAACGTTTTGTGTGTTATTATTGCGTTCAAAATTTATGATAAGGCAGATGTCACAACCGAACGCGCGCCATTTTGGGTGATGCACTATGTGGTACCTCAATATAAAGGGTTCGCCTACTTTACCATTTCGAAACAGCCGTTTTTTTTTTGGTTAACGGTTGCCTATCAGAACTGGTGAGAGTAAATTTAAGCGATTAATCAATTAGTCTATTTTGGTATTGATATAAATAAAAAATAATCAATTTTGAAGATTTTTGGAAATTCGTCGCGGGCTTTCGAATGGTGTAACTAAAAGCCCTATCCGGCGCTTACCTACGAGTTGTGTTTTAATTGGCCCATCATGTACGGTAATACTGTATGTTACTGTCGTTTCATACTAAAAAGTAACCATTTTCAATTACTGTTTTCAGTAGCTGCCGCTGCAACACAGGCCGCCCCACCGACGATCGTTTGGCCGTGTGCACTCCAAAAAGCGATGAGAAAACATTATATTGCCAATGGTTTATTACAAGCTACTCTACGATATTTAGGATTAAAACGGATTAACAATATTTACACTGCTTGATAAGGATTTTCAAATAAACCTACGGCAATGAAATCTTTGGTTTGACACGATTATTGTATGGACAAAAAACACTAGTTCAGATGAATACAAAAGGGAGTTTTTTCCTAAATTCAAAAATTAATAAGAGATCAGATGGGTAAGTCTAGGATACAGGATACGCCAGGGACTGCGAATTTCTGAGAGAAAAATGTAGAAAATTAAGCCGCCAAATACAACCGGACGTGATTACCAAACAAAACCGATAAATACCACCATTTCAATTAGCAATATGGCAAGCTTAAAAATGGAATGGTGCCACAGAGATTCCGGTCTACATTAGGAAACTATATACAGTCAAAAAGCTACAATAACTTAGGCTTTGTACGGGACTTTCGGGGTCAGGGTGTAGCTGCCACGACCGACGCCCGGGTCCACGAAGAGCTGGCCTGAAAAATAATTTTTTACGTCCGAAAAATAATTGTTTTCACACCTAAAACCTTATGCGAGTGGGCCCAGTTCTACAAGGGTCTCTGCTAGCCTGCTCTCTTCAAAAACACCCACCATTGCCCGCAATCACCGCCGGCTTCTGGCTCAACTTTGGGCAGGCACCGTACCATTCACGGTGCTCTTCGAAGCTGAAAAAAGAGTAATCGAGGTCCAAAATTTTCCCATACTCTATTTTGGTAATGGCATCATCAGAGCACGTCAGATCAGCCGTGTACAGTACATAGCGTCGCTGGCCAACTCGGAACAGGCCAGCGGCCGGGTTTTGGTGGGAGGGTAGGAGGTGAGGCTCGTAGAAGCGGAGGACTAAAATTATTTCTGTAACTTTTGCCACGTATCTAGCTACTATATTCTTTTCAATTTTTTCGCTTGGTTACGGTTTTTTTTTGACGCTGCGGCGCCGAGTACTATATTTTTTTGATCTGTTCGAGCTTGTGTAGTAAGCCAATAATTGTCATTTCTTGTGTTTGGGTCTGCGCCCATTAGAATTGATCATTAATGGGCCTCAAATCTTCATTAAGGCATTTTAAAAAACTGCTTACCCCGCAGCCGAGCCCTGGCCATAATCGTCTCCAAAACATCCATACGATCGGCCGGCTCAAGTGTTGTGTCCTGTTCCGGCCGGAGGAATTTGATCTGGATGATGTAGTATTGATTGATCCTCACTTACTATTTGGTTTTTGGGGGATGTTAGTAGTTAATAAATAGTCTATTACCCATTCTAACAAAAATTCCAACCATTAAGGGTGCTGAAGTGGCAACCCCAGCGATATCGACTCTTCTATCGTTTGGCTGGTTAGCGGCGTAGTGCACTTTATAGAGCATCCTCTGCAGTCCTTGGATCTCTAGTGCCAGGTCGTGGCGGCGGAGAATGACACGGTGCAGATCGAACTAAAAAAATCTCTGCTTAATACGATATACTACGAATTTGTATCTCAGCATCTTCAAAATGTTCGGGAATTTCACTTTGAAAGTTAATTTTTGGCCCAAGCAAAGCAAGCTAATTCACCATTTCCATGTCCACAGGTGCGATGCGTTCCTCGCCACCCCGTTTCGACTCGTAGTCGTCGATTCGGTCTTTCCTAGCGTGAGCAAAAAGGCTAAAATCTCTCAAATTAACTACCATTCATACAAAAGCGCCGAAATTTCGGTCATGGCCTCGTCAGCTATGGAAAACAGTAGTTTTTGAATCTCCGAGTAGTGGTCGTCAATGCTAAAGCTGGGAATAGGAAATGGAGATGACCAAACATTTCGCTTCGTTGAAGCCGCGTTGAAAATCCGATCGCAAAGATTCTCAGTTTCTCGTCTCGATCTTTGGCCCAGTCGATGTTCATCACCGTTGTTATGGGCAGCCCGCTTAGCTGAAACTTTTGAAGGTTATAATTTTTGGTTATTAGATAATTTAGCATGTGTTTTTATCATGCGGTCGATGTTATAGTACGGTATCGTAATAAAAACAGGTTAGCAACTCACCGGGCACTGCTCCCAGCGCCACTGAAATTCCAGGTCGTCAAGTGAGTAATGGAGGATGTGGGCCAGTTTGTGGGACTGAAAATAGGGTATGAATACGCTATAAAACGAGTTATTTTTATACCTGTCTCGCATCCGTGACTGCTCCGTTCTGTCCGCCAATTAGAAGAAGTCTCCCAGGTGTTAGAGGGATGAATGTAGACAGGATGGAAGAATCAGGTGGTGTACTAAATTTATGGGTTGCATTGCAGGTCTTCGAATTGATGGAAAAATTTTTGAAGGAGAATAGAGTCTCGTGTTTTCATATAGAACTAGAAATTTGAGACTCACCCAGCTATTACCGGCTTGCGCCAACATGGATTACGTTCGAGCCGCAGAACGTAGACGTCCTGATTTGGGGACGGAGGCTCACCTCGTTTATACCCTGTAATGTAACAACTACGTCATACCTCAACGTGGAAAATTCAGCGCACTTACGATGTGAAACCGATTACGCTATCCATTGCCTCGGGCACAAAGAGCTGATATGATTCTTGCTGCAACATACCTGACATCAGCACCAAGTGATCCTGGACGATGATCTGGGCATGAACTTGTAAAGTAGGAGCAGCTTGGTCCAACGGTCCCGCCACGATCTGAAATTTTATTGTTGCACCAGCGGGGGAGGAGCCGCTTCGCGACTCTCCCCCGCTGGATCCCGTCTAGGCCTTATGAATCGAGCACCCTTCCACAGACAGTTATCCTGAAGAAAGAAAAACCCATCTCCCATGCAAAGCTCTTTGTATTGGCATGCGGCGCAAGATTGAACTGTTAGTCTCGTTATTAGGCCTGCGGCGCATGTTTGATCGGCTAGGTCGCTACCTCATCCTGCGGCCCAAGCTTGAGGGATTAGCCTCCTTTTTTGGCCTTTGGCGACAGCTTGAGCGGCCGGCTTCGTTCTGAAGCCTGCCGGCTAGCTTGAGCGGCTGGCTTCGTTCTGAAGCCTGCGGCGCTAGCTTGAGCGGCTGGCTTCGTTCTAAAGCCTGCGGCGCTAAGCTTGAGCGGCTGGCTTCGTTCTAAAGCCTGCGGCGCTAGGCGAGCGGCTGGCTTCGTTCTAAAGCCTGCGGCGCTAGCTCGAGCGGCTGGCTTCGTTCTAAAGCCTGCGGCGCTAGCTTGAGCGGCTGGCTTCGTTGTAAAGCCTGCGGCGCTGGCTGAGCGGCTGGCTTCGTTCTGAAGCCTGCGGCGCTAAGCGAGCGGCTGGCTTCGTTCTAAAGCCTGCGGCGCTAAGCGAGCGGCTGGCTTCGTTCTGAAGCCTGCGGCGCTAGCTTGAGCGGCTGGCTTCGTTATGAAGCCTGCGGCGCTAGCTTGAGCGGCTGGCTTCGTTCTAAAGCCTGCGGCGCTAGCTTGAGCGGCTGGCTTCGTTCTAAAGCCTGCGGCGCTAAGCGAGCGGCTGGCTTCGTTCTGAAGCCTGCGGCGCTAGCTTGAGCGGCTGGCTTCGTTCTGAAGCCTGCGGCGCTAGCTTGAGCGGCTGGCTTCGTTATAAAGCCTGCGGCGCTAAGCTTGAGCAGTTAGCTTGATTCCTTGGCCTGCAGCGCATGGCAGGCGGGTAGCTTCATTCTATAGGCTGCGGCTGGAGTGACTAACTTCATAATAACGTCCCTACACGGAAATCCACTCCGAAACGCGCTTTCCGAGCAAAAAGCAAAACAACTAAAATGTCCGAGGATCGAACCTCCGATCTTTAGATTAGCACGGCGAAACGCTAACCACTACACCATGCAATGCTTGGTAGCACGCGCCAAACACCCGTTTTATGCCTCAAGAGGACTGCCCGGGGCAGGGGAAGGAAGGGCATCGAGAGGCAGATCCAAAGAGACGACCAAACTCGCGAGTGCAACTGGCAAGAATGAGGAAATTTGTATTTTTTCACATTATGCAAATTAGCCCTCCCGGACCCCCAAAAATCAATAAAACCGGCTTTAACTTTGTTAACTTGTATTTTATCGGGATTCTGAAAGCGCCATCGGAAAGAGGAGGGTCGATTCCCCCGGGAGACGGAGAATTAAGGCATTTTATGCACGGGAAGGCCCTCAAATCGGGCCTCGAAAGTGACGGCCGGACACACACACAGACAAAGATACGCGACCAAATTATATAAGGTAGGATAAATTAGAGCATATGGCTACCGCTTTTACTTGAATCTTGGGAAGGAATTTCTGCTCCTTAAATAACTGACCGCTTCCCATCGATCCCCTTCCGCATTTTCGTGGTAAATGTGAGCAGCGGCCACATTCGACTGTAGAGCCGCCATTCTGCCGCCGTGCTGACCGCCAAAGAACACCAGTTTCCCATCTTTCCAATACGACGGTTTGCTGCCTTTTTCCGGTCGGGAGCCGGTTGGTACCCAAGGCAATGGCTGTCGTTGCCAGAGGCCGATGTGCTGAAAAAAAAGTTTTCTTAGTTAACGTTTAAAAGAAAGAAATGTCTCTTTTACTTTTCTTTTCTTTTGAACGTCTTTCTCAAGATGAATTTTGGGAATGTTAGGGATTTATAAAAAGTATACTACATACAGTATCCGAAAATCTTGGGAGTTGTCCCTTGGGAATGATACGTCAGTAGAATTACACGGTTTTCATGTGAGCTCATTAGCGCAAAGGTTTTCCTTTTCTCAATTCCCTAGCGGTATCTTTATTTTCAGGGAAAACTTTTTTTCTAAAAAGTAATTTTTGTCATGGCAGGAATCTATAAAAAGCTGATTACATACAGTATCCTTAAATGCCACAGAATTGTCCTCTGGGAATATTACGTCAGTCAGATTTTCACGTGAGCTCATTAGGGCAGAGGCATCGCTTTTTTTCAGCCACTAATTGCCTTCGTCACTCAATTCCCTAGCGTTTGCTCTGTTTTTATTTTCAAATTTTTCAAAAACCCTACCGTATCAAACACATTCATGTTCCAGCTGTCAACGCCACCCTGCCCGATCGATGTCCCGTAGCTGTAGATACAATTCGAGAATGGCGAGTAGGCCATCGGGTTCGAGTGCAGGTTGCCGGAGATCCCGGGGACAGCCACACAGTCCCTAAATCCGCTTTTTTAGGAAAAATACTGTCCATACACACCATGAATAATCCGTGGCGCAAACGAGTTCATTATGAGACTTTTGCACGTGTTGACGCGTGAAGCGATGCCTAAAGTTGGCGATTTTTGAAGAATTAATGCCGTTGAGGTCCAAGTCTCAATCTACGAGGCTTATGTTTTGATTTCAAATTATTTGATAGTTGTTTTCATAAGTTTATTCAAAATTATACTGCTTACCAATTTTTATTCAGCAGCTTCACCCTAGCCCAATCGCTTTCTCGGAGCCAGATAACAATATTTTCCACGACTTCTTTTGGAAGTAGCTCCAGCGGGTCCATCTTTGAAAGAAAACAGAGTTTAATCTTTAAATCGCACAAATTTGAAAGAATATTAAACGACCAAATAAAGCCAAAAATCAAATTTCTCTTCTGAATCTGAGCAACTGAAAGATTCTAGATGACTCGGCGAATTTCAGAAAATTTCACGTAGCCAAATTGAAGCCGAAATCGAACCAAAACTAAACGGTTAAAGTTAAAACGACTTTCATAAATTCATCCGTTTTCAGAATCCGAATATGACTTCCTAGAACTGGCTCTCCTTCTATGTAGTTCGTAGCCCCTGGCAACGGCCCAGGGGTATTTTTTGTGGCGTAACTGAAGGCAGGCCCGCTCCTGCCTGGCTAATAAAAACCCCTGGGAATCCCTTTTGGATGGAAATTAAAAAGGGCTACAATGCAGTGGTGAAACGATCGATAAGATAATTTTTGGGGACCGAAAGGAAAAGGGACAGATTCGTACAGTTGAGAAGGTTGGGAGAATGGCCTCAGAAAGCTGAAAAGGTAAAGACCTAGCCTTACGAAGCTAATAAACAAATACCCAGAAAGGTGACGCAAAAAAATGAGATGAATTAACCGAGGCAGCCAACACAGAAAACATGGCGAAACATAAAGTGAGAGAGGGAGAGAGAGAGAGAGCGAGAGAGATATAGAGAGAGAGAGAAAGCCACAAATACGCACGAAAAATCTAAACCATTGATTTCGATAAATCGAAATCTATGCGGTAAAACGCCCCCCAAATCCGCGCCAATACGTATTAAAATTAGGGGAATCGTATCCTATACGCTTTCTGTATCAATAGTTGTGTATCGGAATCGTATCGCATCGAAATAGTGCTTTGCTTCATACTGCGACAAGAAGATGGACCTTCATTTTCTGGCCTAAAAAATACTTTCGCGAAAATTTGATGCTGCCATGGATTGGCCCAATCCCTTGATGGCGATTCACATGGGCAGGCGACCTCCCAGAAATCGAGCGCAATTCATTTTTCGTTGATCAAACTCAAGGGCAGAATTGGGTTGCAGCACAAGATGTGGTCCATAAAAAGGGGGCCCCATCACGATCATCAGCATCATCGAGTCACTTTCCACATTTTGACATTTTGCATTGGGATTTAGGCTGATGCGACCCTTGATTCTTTATATGCTCAGTGTGTGAGATAGCCCTATTTTCAGCGAAAACTGGTCCTTTAAGAAGACACTTGGCTGTTCCTCGGAGCCTCATCGAAGAAACAATCTGAAGACTAATAAACAAAAAAAAACGAATTAAAACGGTGTGAGAACACGTTTTTCTATCTGAATAAATCCTCTCAAAGCCACTGTTCTTTTAATTTCTGCAGCCTTTGCCGAGAACACAATAAAACGTTAGCATCCCACGCCAGAAATACATTTTTGTGCCTGTAAAATGGCGTAGATCAGTTTTGAGGCCGCTATACGTATCGGCAATGGATCCGGGGCCTTTCGGCCCTTAACCTGACCCCATTCCCTGACGTAAGCAAAGGCGGCTAACTGTTGCGGAACCAATTATTTCCCTTTTCCATTTTTCCAAACAAATATGTTGCGACATGTTTTGCGAATCTACATAAGGACGTTGGATCAGTGAGTTCGCCATTCAGCCTCAAATATTTTCAGTTTTTTCCTAGCAATTTTGGAGTTTTTAAAACAAAGAGGTTTTTACCCTGCCTAACTATGGAAAATATTCTATTTATACTACAGTGTGTCGTGTTGTGCTTAGGATTTTCATTCTGCGAATATAACACCCCTTCAGACCGTTCGAACTAGAGTGCGGCTTATTCAAATCAAATCGCGACTCAAACCGGTTTGATTTGAATAAGGGCGGTTTGAATAAGAATCTGCTTTTCAAATCAAACCGGTTTGGTTTGAATAAGGATCCGTTATTCAAACCAAACCGACCAGGTTTGAGTTGGTTTGAATTGATTTGAACAACAGGCAAATCAGCATGTTAATCGATTGGATGGATGCTAATCGGCTAAGTTTTCGAGGCATCCCTTCTAAAACCTTGTGTGATCAATATAATGATGAAATTGGCATCATTTACGAAGTTTACGCACTTTTTCAACGATAGGTTTGGCATTCTCAACCTTTCACAAGCATCCAAATGGTCGGGATAACCTTGGCAGCGCTGAAAGAAAAAGGTCTCGAAATGATCCGCTAACCCCAAAAACCTGGCAGGAATGCTGCTGGACCACCCTAAAGTGAAGTCACAAAAGGATTGGTGCCAAAACGCAAAAATGGTGCCGAAAACAGACTGTTTCGGAGACTGGTTCTTATTCAAACCTTGTTCAAATCTTCAAACCGGTTTGGTTTGGTTTGAGTTGGGAATCCTTATTCAAACCGGGTTTGGTTTGAATAAGGATCCCGTATTCAAATCAAACCGGTTTGATTTGAATAACGGAAATCTTATTCAAACCCGGTTTGAATAAGCCGCACTCTAGTTCGAACCCTAGAATGGGCGCCGCTGTCGTTGCAACCGTAGCCGTGATTGCCACCGCTGGCGCTGCCGCACCGGCCGTTGCTGCTGGTAAGTTCCTTTTAAGTTCTCGAATTATCTTGGGTTCTATTGTTATTAATTAATTTATTAACGCTTTTTTATATACTATAGGCTATTTTGAGGCGCCGGAGTCGGTTTTGGAACAGGAACCGCAGCGGCTGGGATGGCGGGGAGTGCCGCTGCCGCTACTGCAGCAGGTATCCATTTCGACACCTAGTGACGACTGAAAAGTCTTTTTGATTCATGGAGGCTCGCCTTGCCCAATCATCTTAGTTCCAGTCGGAAAACAGAAACCATTCAGGAGCTGCTACGGGTGCGGGTGCTGGTGCTATCACAGCAGCTGGGGTCGCTGCAACCGGAACTGCGACAGCGGGGGCGATCGGAGCTGCTGGGACTGCTGGTACGTTTTTAATTGACTATTTGTGATCGGTTTTATTGGTTTAGAACATCTTAAATATCCTTTCAATCATAATTATAACACGCTACATAATTTTTAAAGGAGCCGTGAGCGGCGGTCTAGGGGGCACCGCTGGAGCCGGACTACTCGCCGGCACGCTGACCGGTCCCATCGGTTGGGCCATTCTTGGATGCGCGGCCAGGGAGCTGCCATGAAATCGTCCGCGCTTAGTCTTCGACAAAACTCACACAGCTTTAACTTTCACTTCAACTCTCCATTTCTTGTGCAATAAAGATAATTTCGATATTTTTGGTTTCCTTGCCGAAGTTTGTTATTTACAAACCGTAGTACTTTATATTTTTTCAAGTATTTTGCTGGATTAACGATACTTCAGATGGTTTTGGCGCTGGGGACCGTTACGAGTCCGCCCTTGCAGATTGGCACCTGTGCGGGCAGCTTGATCGGTTCCGTGCTTGCCTCGAATGTACTTCCGGTCACCGTGGGAAAGGGCGCCTCAAGTATTGTAGGTTTTTCAAAGTCGATAAACGACAGCATTCAAGACACTCGCCTCCGGCCTTGTCAGCGCCGGAGCAGGCGCTGTTTTTGCTCCGTTCCTGACCGGAAACGTTGGTGCCGGGATGTCGACGGTCGGGACGGCTGTGTATGGTGCTTTATCAGGTGTGTGTCGGTTGAAAAGACACGTTCGAATTTAACCCACCAAATTTTTCAAATTTTTTTAAAATAAATTTTATTTGCAGGCGGAACCTCAGGGACCGTATCAGCCACCTTGGTCACGGCCGCCGGCATCCCAGGCTTTCTCGCGACAGCCGTATTGGGGGCACAGCTCCGGGTCGTGGGTTTTTTGCGCAATAAAGTTTTGACTTAAAAGTCCCGCTTGAAAAACTCGTTTATCCTGAGCGTTTTTTCAGATGAGTCGCCCCGCACCGCCACCAGGAATCTCATGTCACCCTGGAGAAATGGCCGGAAAGCCAGTAAGCTTCTAAAAACCGATAAATAAAAGAAGAGTTTTATCTATGGAGGAAACTGGCCTTTTTTCTTAGAGAAATTTCTAAAAAAATCGCAAGTTACAGATCGATATCCCAGAAGCCGGGGACCCAGATTACACCTATGATTGCTGGAAGGCGATTTTGCATGAAACAGATGATACCCCATCAACTGGCCGCTACATAAAGGTAAGAAATTGTTAAATAACTGGCAAACTAATAAATTAAGCTCCAAAAATACATAATAAATGTGAACTATCAAATTAAGAAAACATTCTTAGCGCTTTTTCAGGACATCGCGGCCGATCCTCGCATCAAAACTGTATACCTAGAGGAGATCGAGGGCCAGGAATACCCGCAAATTATCCTCCACAATATCTGGAACGAGTATTTCATGATCCGTTTCTTCCAACTACCTTCTGGCCTAACCCTTTCCCACGCTGACTTGTTGCCCCCGGAATTTTACATCATTGACAAGTCGATCCTCGGTTTCATGAACCAATTTGAGGGGTTTTGGAAGGAAGAATTGGTTGTATAGACGCATTTTTCTGCCTGTTTTTACGAACTTTTATTGAATAAACTGTTTATCAGTCGTTGTTCTACACCGAATCTATTAATTTTCGGAAAAGGGAATGTGAGAATTTTCGTGGTAACTTCGTTGGATGTTCCGAATTTCGTAAAGCTCATTCAAGTTTTTTTCACTGGCGCTTTCCATTTTATTTGTCTGACGCGGCATTTCTTCTTTTCTTTTTGTGTCCTTTGTTCCGAGGATCTTTTAGTTTATAAACGTAAAAAAATTTGTTGAGTTTTTGATGGTGGGAGATTGGCGCCAAAACTGAAAATTTTCATCTTTGAATAGGATGAAAGCGTTCGAGAAAGAAAGTTTCTTTATCCGTCGCTAAGTTTTGATTTCTAAACACTATCCGTTCCGATTGTTTATTGCTAACAATTCAAATTCCAGGGATGCTGCTCGAGTGCTTCAACTGCCCGAAATGCTCGCGACCGTTTGATAGAGCCGGTCGTCGACGTGCGCCGATGTTTGATGCTGAACTTGGAATCGTGTGTTGCCGCCTGTGTCTGGCCCCGGGCAATTTGACCGACGCGAAGCCGCTGAAATTCCTCGAGACCCTGCTCGAGCAGCCTGATATCGTGAAGAACCCCGCCGGATGGGTGGCCCTGGGCCCGCTGAAGCCGCTCGCGTGTCTGGAATGTATGAAGCCGTGCACTGATGGTCCTCCGCAAGTCTTGGCATACTGGACGTTCGCATGCAACGCCTGCGGGTCCAAGAAAAAGGTTGGTTTTTCTAAGATTTTCTTGAGGTAGTCGCATTGGTGATTCCGTGTTAGCGGGGAGCAAGGCATGATTCTTTTGCCGTCGGTTTAGTGGCGCATTTATTAAACTTGGACAATTGTTATAGCATTTTACAATGTTTTTAATATCGAAACATGTTAAATGAAGTTCTAAAGACTTAAAAATGAGAAAATCGGATGAGAAATGTCTAAAACTGGTCAAATGCTTGAGCTTTTTAAGACGTTCTATCAACGTGTGTACGTTATAAAGTATAAAGTATAAAAATGTTTTAGCAAACAACTACCAAAAACAATATTAACGCATAGTTTGATTCCTTACTATGCGGGCATAAGCTCAACTCAAAAAAAAATTTGCCTTGCTCCCCCGTTAAAAAATTGCTCCCTCGCTAAGACGGAAGCACCGTCGCATTTTTCTGCTTCCTAATAAATTGCATTTTTTTTATTATTTAATTTCAGGAACCGCGAGGGCTCCATGGCCGGAACTGTGAGGAGGAACTTCTTGGACCGGATTCACCGCTTGGAACGTTGATGACCGAATACCGGCAAGACTGTAACAAGGTGCTCGTCGCGTTCGAGAAGATCAAGACCAACCTGCACGAAATTTGGTACCGAACATCGAACTGTGGCCGCTGCCAGCAGAAGCTCGAGGATACGTACGAAGATTTCAACAAAATCGTAATTGTTTCCTGCTCTACGATCTACTGCGCCGGCTGCTATGCAAGGACCGAGCTGCACAATCGATGCCATGTCTGTAATGCTGATCCGCACTTGCACGTGAAGGCCGGGCGCAAGGTGTACCAGGAACGCAATCGCGAGTGGAACAGGGGATATGATAGCTATTATCATTAGCGCAGTGTATTGTCAGCCCAATTATCGCTTGTTTTGCATGGTTTTTGCTGTCGAGATGAGCGAAATTGTTACCACTTGTTGGCCTTGATAACTCGTAATGTTTGCGCTTGCCGCTTGCTTTTCGATTGTTGTCAATTTATTGTTGATTTGTTGAAAAATAAATATGTTGAGCCCAATTATCGCTTGGTTTACAGCAGATTTTGTGATTAGAAATTGAGGAACGGCTTGCAGCAGGGGTTGCGCTTAGCAGGTAGTTGTAATTTTCTGAGCGTGGCAGATGGCGGAAAGGCTTCATCCAAATAGCTGCTTTAGTATTAGTGGTTTAGTTCCGTTAAAGGGAGAGGATTTTCTTTTGGAGCTTAACAGGCTGCAGTGTCGGTAAATACGACAACTTGGGAAGAGGCCTCGGGGCGTAACATTATTGAGGCTTTTCAATAACTTGAAATATGTTACAAATTATTTTTTAGTGAAGTTATGTTTATTAGTTTCTTACTACCGTTATCAAGCAGCTGTGCCAGGAGGACGTGGACCTCTCCTCTACGCGGGCACTTCTTCGCGCCTTCACATGGCAAAAAATACGTCTGTTAATGTGGGATTGAATTTAGCAGATAAGACTCTAGCGATGACTCAACTTCAAATGTTGGAATTTTAATTCTTGATTGCTGTTGAATTTTTGATCTGCTGATGACATTAAAAACATTTTTATAACAGTGTTATAGACAACTAACGCCGGGCGTCATCCTGCGATGCTAAACTTCACCACGCGTACATCATCTGTACACCTTGAAGCGTTCCAACACTAAAATTTAAAAAAAGATCAGCAAACCTACAGCGTCATCAGCAAATTTCTAATACAGTGAAGGCAAATAAACGTCTAGGTTGACATTTTTGAAAAAAAAAACAGATTTCATTTCTTTACAAATGGTGTGAAAAACAGTTTAGAAATACAACAGAAAAACGTCTTTTCCCCCTGGCTTCATTTTGTGGGACTTTAAGTCGAGATACATTGCGCCTGGGGTTGTGTAGATTTTTGTGTTTTGTGTATGCAATAGTTTCTCAAGGCCCCCTTTAGTGTTTCTATAGTCAGATGTGTATCCCCAATAGGTTATCTGCCTATGCTTAATTCCTAGCCCATCACCTCAAGGGGCGCCACGTGATTCAAGGTCACCACGCGTCTTCGAAAATTCTGCTATCTAGAACCAGTAGAATTCGCTGCTTACCGGACCTATGTTTCTTTAATTTTTCACATACTACAGAAGCATCCCACTGTAGCGGCTCGGAGAAGCATCTCTCTAGAGGAGTGGCTGATAGTTATCTAGCGAAACCTCGAAACGGGAAAAAACAAGCCATCTTTTGTTTATAAATTCAGCGCTCTGGTTCATCAGTTTTAGGAACAAAAAAAACCATCAAAATTGTAACTTTATGCTGGCTTGATAATTCCGCCAATTCATAGAATTTGGTCTAATGCTAGTCGAGAATTGTCTTTCTTCTTTGTTTCCTTCCTCAATCCCTCCTCCCCCCTTATCTCCTCAATTAATTAATTTGAATCGCTAAAATTTTATTTCTGCTCTCGTTAATTTCATTCTATATTTCCTCAGGCCTATTAGTGTTCGCCGACCGGTGAACCTTCGTGTGAGGAAAGATAAAATCAAATCAATAAGAATGGCTGACCTTCACGCTCTCCGGGCGTTTGTGTTTCAAAAAAAACGCATTTACAAATTGAGCATGAAAAAAATAGCATTTTTGAGGACTTTCGAACGGTTTAAAAATAATCCCGATTTGAGCTTCCACCAGACCATTAGAAGGGCCGCTTTTTGGGACACCCAATACTCAGCCTTCTTCCTAACCGATTTTTCATTCATCCCAACTTAACCCATTCAACCCATTTTTAGTTCGAAATTTTCGATTTCACCTAATTGCTTCAGAGATGCTGCTCGAGTTCTTCAACTGCCCGAAATGCGCGCTTCCGTTCCATTTATACGAAGGTTCGTCACGTGAACCGATGTACGAACGTGATCAACTGATCTGCTGTCGCCAATGTTGCCCACCGCCCGGTCGTGACGATTATTTGCGGGGAGCTGGTTTTGTGGTCAACCTGATGAAGCAGGAGAATGTCAAACTAACCGATAAGGGCTGGATCGCTATCGGTCCGCTCAGAGAATTATGGGTGGGTTTTATCAAATGTTTTATTAACCCAAAAGCAGCAGCTTAACTAGCGGGGCCCGAATAAACCTGGGCTGAGAACTGGCTGAAAAGTTGCACACAGATAGAATCGGTCATGCTGATCACCACCAAGCTGTCCAAATTTGCTACTGATCCTTAAAACTCGAGATATGAGATATGAGACAAGACATTATGCCGTGCTTTCTATTTTGAAGTTCTAAATTATTTGAAGTAGCCTATCTGATAGAGAAATTTTTTTCTGATTCGAATGGTGGTGTATTTCATTAAAGTAGGCCTCGTCTAGACGACGTCTTACAGCTGTTTGAAGTAGGCTATTTTTCACTATTTCCCATACAAAAATAGAAATCCTTATCATCCGATAGATACCATATCATATTGTCAAATTTTCCAATTTTTCGTGTTTGAGTTAGAGGGCTCATTCGAAAAAAAAATTTCTAACTACGATGGCGATATTTATTTTGCAAAATGGGCCTGGAATACCAAAATAATCGAGCTTGAATTTTGACGATTTTAACTAAAGGATTAAAAGTGGCATATCTCGAGTTTTAAAGATCAGTAGCAAATTTGGACAACGAGGTGATGATCAGCGTGGTCGATTAAATCTGTCTGCAAATTTTCAGCCAATTCTGAGTCCGGGTTTATTTAGGGCTCCCCTAGTTAGACATTCAGTAAATGCAATTCTAACCAGGAGTGTCCTTTTGGTGTCATCGGCAAAACGATTCGAGACCCCGCTCATTCGATAGAGAATTGAATTCTGAACAAGACTGTGTTGTTCATTTTTGCGGAATGGTTGTCCCTGATTTTATAAAATTAAAAAAAAACTCCCATACATTGGTGCTTGGGGAGCGAGTTGTTAAGGTTTCGCGCTTGGTTTTTTAATTCTATAAAATCAGGGACAACCATTCCGCAAAAATGAACAACAAAGTCTTGTTCAGAATTCAATTCTCTATCGAATGAGCGGGGTCTCGAATCGTTGTGCCGATGACACCAAAAAGGACACTCCTTGTAAGCGCGGGAAAATCTTTCTATCTGGTTTTTAGTTTGGAAGCGGTGACGAAGCGCAGAGGAAATTTATCCGGAGCTATGGGCAACATGCGAGAAAGCTGGAAGAGGTTCGCGAGAAGATCGCCACCAACTTGCGACAGCGCATGGTGACCAAAAAATCCGGATGCGGGAGCTGTGAGAAGACCCTGGGAAATTACGAGGACCGGATCGTGATCTCGTGTTCATTTGTGCTGTGCCCCATGTGCTACTACAAAACGAATTTGCGCAATGATTGCCATATTTGCGATGAAGCGCTGCAAGCGCATCAATCAGTCGGCAAGGAATTGCTACAACAAGACGAGCAGGAGCGACGAGCTGAAGAAGAGAAGCGGAAGGCAGAAGAGGCGAAGCGGATTCCCGAGGCGGCCTGTCAGGATGTCATGGTTGGGCCGCACCAGGAGGCCTCCGCAATCGCCGCGAAAGTCCTGTGAAAGGGTACAACTTCGAAAAACCTGAATTTTCTTTCGTGAAATTTCTTTGTTGACCATTTGTTATGAGCACATAAAGATCTACAGAAATTACGCTCATTCATGGACAAGACAACACAGAAATCAACTACCATAACAGTCATCAAGCAATTTTTGTAGACAGTCGAGGATTTAACGAGATTAAAAAACCTTGGTAATTTGAACGGATGCCCGCAATCAGTGCCGTAACAAACCCGAATTTCGGGGGGGGGGGCGGCGCCAAAATTTGTCATTAATATGACTAAAACTGCAGCGTCGCAGGCAAAATTTTTGAAAACACGGGGTTTATTACACTAAAACTAGTGTTAAAAATAGCCAAAAACAGCGCCGCAGGCAAAAAATTTTTTGGAAGAATTAAATCATAAGGGCCCCCTTATGCACTGGTCCCCTTATGAACGGCCCGTGTGAAACGACGGGTTTGCAACAATTTTCTAAACCATGTTTTTATTTAAATGCGCCGTTTTACAACGCATTTAAAAACATTAAGGAACGACCTCCACATCGAATTGGCTACTTCCGGTCATTTTGGATGGAGAAATTGAGGCAAATTAAGTAAGCTGGTAAAGCCGCAAATTTACAAAATGGCTTGTAAAATAGCGCACCTAAACAACAACGTAATTTTGAAAATTCTTGCAAACTCGCCATTTCAAGGGCTTTCGAATGGCATAACTATTATTCCCAACTTCTGCGCCGAGGTGGAGGGGGTGTTTTTTATTGGGACACCCTGTATTTTGGTTTATCCAACAATGCCGTTCGGAAGGCGGCCGGTTTGTTCACTGTGCTCTACAAGAACCCTGCTCTTCGCCACGTTAATTTTTACTCTAACCCGTACGCCTAAATAAACTGCTTCCAGAAGCGAAACTACGAATCAGCTACTGATCCCCTCAACTTTGGTTTACAGACAGGCATCTTGTCTGAGTCATCCAATCGCCATTTCCTCA